AGAGGCGATTCATACTCATGGCGTCCTACAACTCGGACTGTTCACGAAGTAGTCAAAGTAATAGAATGTAACGTCAAGCATTAGATATACAAATCACGATTCATGCCTTACCTGATGATGAAAACTCTGTACAAGTTCAACTTCAGCCTCATATTACACATGTACATGTACACTGCGACAATCTCAATCGTACACACAGTCAACTGAGGGCGCCAGTAACAATCAACAACCCCCAAAAAGTCAATGTTCCCAATCTTCCCAGCGGCCATTTTTCAAATGACATCCCTCACCGTGGCCGGCTCTTCTGACAAATTTTCAATCACATTTTTGTCTGCTTTGCCCCCAGATGGGTGCCCCTAAATCTACAGAGATGATCCCGGGCTATACTGGCACAATCCCACGATTTCTTGGCCCAAACAGATCCCTCTTTTTGAAAGAATCTGTGGGGGGGTACTTTTTGTGTGCCTCCTTCTGGCGGAGAATTTTCCTTGAATTGGGGCACTACACCCAGAGGCCTGCTTGTTGCAGGCCTACAGACATACGGGTTGGTTCCGTATGGATACACATTATGATGTCTGTGTGCAGGCCAGTATGGTGATAAATACCCGCCTGCGCGAACTTTAAAAAATCAGGAAAAATCATGCTCACGAGTTTCTCAGGCTCTCGAGATGCACATCTAAGCCCATTTTATGATGTTTCTTTGTTTCGAATTTCCATTCATAATCATTTTAACTCATAGTGAGTGAGTCATACGTCCTCAGCAAAGAGCGGTTGAAGTTTAAACACTGCCAAAAACGAGCACCTCTGCATGGCATGCATGTAGAAACGTCCTCAAGCGAAGTAATTAGCTCAACTTGAGTGGCAAGTTCTGAATTAATAGATCGTATATGGTATCAATTTAATGCTGGGACCAATAAACACGTGACACTTATCTCGGTGGCAAATAACCTTTCACTTGAATTAGCCAGTTCCCATCGCCCTCGTACGTACAGAGCATTAGTAGGATATAGGAAGGACCGTATGGTCACACATGACTTTTTTATCGAGCACTCATTGGATATGCCGTCTTTTTAACGAAGATCAATGGGATAGCCGGTTATAGTATAGGGCGCACTGAACTTGTAAAGTTTGGAGCCCCACTGTTGGCAACTAAAATCCTGCAGAGTCCTCTCAAACAAAAATGGTTTTGTTTTTGGTCCTTCAGGTTTCATTTGATTTTCAAATTTTAGAAGGTTAACCAATGAATTTTTTAATTATCCGCCCAAAATCCCCCCCCCAAAAAAGTGAACGTTCCTAAGTCTTCTCAGTAGCCATTTTTCAAATGACATCCCTCACCCTTTTGGGCTCTCAAGTGACAATATTTAAATAACATTTTTGTCTGCTTTGCCCCCAGAAGGGAGCCATTGAATCTATAGAGAGAATCCTAGGCCATACTTACACAATCCCACAATTTCTTGGCCCACACAGACTCCTCTTTTGGAAAGAATTTATTAGGGGTATGTTTAGAGCACCTCCGTCTGGCGGAATTTTCCTTGAATTGGGACAGTGCACCCAGTTGAACAGGTCTTGCACATGTGCGATGAGTGCTCATCAAGTAAGAAGTCCACACTTGCTTGCCATTAACTACGGAAGCCCAAGCGTACCCCACACAAGAAAAATCAGTGGGGAAACTAATTCGCTAATACGAATCAGTAATTCATAGTAACACATTACTTTAATTCGTAATTAGGGATTACTGACACTACGAATTATTAATTCGTAATAACGGATTCACTACGAATTAGTAATTCGTAAAAACAGATTAGTACACTATAATTCGTTATTACAATTGTGACGATTGTGTCATCTATCACCAAGCAAAAACAATTGCAGATTGTCACGGTGAGGCTATTAACTAATATAGGGACGCTGGAGAAATGAGAGCAATGCTAACCGTTCACTTCAAACCCGATAAATGCGATGTTCTTCATTTCACAAATATGGTTCAACGTAGAACAGTCCGGTTCTTAAGTTACTAACTTTACAACCAGGATAACGTACATCAGTCAGTGGCTCTTCTTTACAATACAACTCCCCCGGAGACCATCGGAGACTCGTCACCATGCACAAGATTACTTATAATCAAATCGCTGTCACCTTAAAGGCCTACCGTCTGAAGTTTCATCAAACAAACCGTCATCTATACGAGGAATTCTAGGCCTTATAATGTCTCCAAATACTCTTCACTAGCACCCAAACTTCAACATTTTTTTTTCATCCCAACTGCACAGAATTCGAATAATCTTGCCCAGCACATCACGGATGGTGGCACTAAAATTTGCCGAAGCCCTGAGGAATTTCAAACGCAGTGCTCATGAATAGCCGTCCACCTTTCCTTGGCTGAGTGTTGCTTCGATAGGAGTTGATCAGCGACTATTTATCAAGATCAAATTAGTAATTCGTAATAACGAATTAGTTTCCCACTGATGTTTTTGTCTGTGGCTCTAATGGGCTCTAATGGGCTTTCGTAGTTAACGATTTCCTCCACGATTTTGTGTACCCTCCCGAGTCGGGAGCACTAGCAACAGGACCAAAGACATCTTGTTCCTTTTCAGTGTAACAAAGTTTCGTTGAATTCTTTTCATGTAACTACTTAAAAATAAAAATTGGCCACACTTTTTGGGGATCGGAGTTTGATCTCACAACCTCTCGCTCCCGAGTCAGGAGCTCCAGCCACAGGAAAACTGCATCTTGCTATTTAGGGTTAAAAAGGGTAAGTTGATTTTCCATGAAATTTTTACTCTTTAAATAATTAGCACTGTTTCTCTCGCAAGGGATTTGATCTCATATCCTCTCGCCCCCGGCTCACTGAGAAGCGCTAGGAACACGATCTCCGAGATCTTTGTCACTTAATTTTTTTGTTTGATTTTTTTCATGCATTGTTTAAAAAAAAAAATTTTCAAAGGTTTCCCTCGAACGGTCGATTCGATTTCACAACCTCTCGCTTCCAAATCCAAAGCACTAGCTCAATTTTAACTTGGACCAAAGGTGGATTTTGAACTTCGTTATTTGAAGTTTTTTTTTTCAAAACAAACTTAGCAAAAGGCTATTGAGGGCATATTCGATCTCACAACTTCTTGATCCCGACTCAGGAACTATAGCACCACGGCGGATCATCGAGTTCTTGTATCTCTTCAATGTAAAAAGTTCCTTTTAAGAAATAATTAGCAAATTTTTTCTCGCACGGGGCTAGATCTCACCATCTTGTAGCCCATTCTAACCTTTTTATGTGGCCAAATTGATCTTGCCATATTTTATGCCATTCCTCACCCAAAGCCATTTCTTGCCAGTTTACATTGCCGTGCATTGATTTTGCCATTAGTGCCTTTTCTTGCTTAACCCTAACCCTCCTCAATCCTTCACCTGTTGGAGGATTGAGGAAGGTTAGGGTTAAAGCCCACTCTAACTGCATTTAATGCCAAATTGATGTTACCGGCGTACGTAACGCCCCTTCTTGCCAATGCCCCGTGCCACAGAATGCTCAGTTCTTGTCATTTTTACGCCTATTTTGCTACATTGCAGTGTTTTTGCCATACATGTAGCCGGAGTACCCAAGTTTTGCTGTTTCTGCCATGTCATGCTTTTGTTGTATAATGTTTCAAATCGATCTTGCCATGCGTGTCTTGCAAGTGAGCACTCGGCATTGTTTGCCAGCTTCCCCCAACAAAACGTCCCTAAGTTGAAATCTTTTTATAGTACTCTTTCTGCATATACAGTTAAGATGAAATCTGATCTGATCAGATTTAAAACAGATTATGACTTTGAAATCATTACACTGATCAGCTAAAGTAAACATGTATGTTCTAGAACATAATTCCTTTCAACACATTGTCAAATTGTGCCGGATACCAGACGTTAAAATTCTGTTGAAATCAGTAATACATTGATGCTGACCTACGTGTAAAGCATTTACCCTTGTAGTTCGTGGACGGTCGTGGTGCACCCCTTCATTTAGGCTAGAAATATGTCCGCCTATCTCATTAATAGAAGTAATACACTGAAAATTTATTGTATTGGAGTGATCTACTTTGGGTGAGAATTTCTAAAAATTCATTGGTCAACCCACAAAAAATTGAAAGGAAAATGAAAGCGGACATGTCAAACATTTTTTTCCTGTCCAGCCTGGACACCTGTGAGAGTTATAGGTTTTTTTTTCTAAATGTAAAGATTTATCATCGGTGTCTGTGGGAATTTACTTTGAGGGGTGATGACCGGTGCAGCACCCTTCTTCGGGATCCCGTGACGTGATCATTCTAGCGATCAGTGTTCTGTGTATGCGACCGCCCTCAATCGGTAGATAATACACTGCACACGTACGACCGGCCAGGGAATTGGAACGGGAACGCGCGCCCTTCCTCGTGCATGATGAACACGCATTCGGAAGTTCGGCAGTAGTTAAGATTTTGTTACTCACACCTTCCTCCATGGTCGCAGCACCTCCGCAGTCACAGCGTGATGGACGACGGAGAAGATGAAGATTGGTCAAGACCTGCGTACTTAGACATGTTAGAATGTTTCGAAAGCTCAAGTTCGACATCGATGTCAGGTCAGCCAGCGCCAGTCATGCCAGTTCATTTGTTTTTCTAGATAGGCCTTGGCTAGCTTAGGCCTTGTATTAGTAATAAAGGCCTAGAGCGATAACGATGGGGCCGGTACATATTTCATGACCTAGCTAGGCCTACATTACCACTGTACCTGACGAATGTTTCAATGGCCGGTACGGCGGTAGCATGGCTTTGCCTACTTTAAATTTGAGGACTACATACATGTACTGTACATGTATCCCTCATGTTTGAAAATAAAATAGGCATGGGAGAATTCCCCCCGAGGCTGTGAGACTGTCTGAATCATGAATATCATCAGTGATCTATCAGCCAATCAATGCGAGACTGTCATAGAAAATGTTTCTTGTGTACATTATACACCTACACGTATGCATCCATCTCTGACTTACAAAATTGTAAACTTACGGTTTTAACCCTTCCCTATTTCAATTTTGCATGTAGTGGTGGCACAGTCCATGAACGGTCCCAACATGAAAGTGAGCCACAGCCGCACAATCGTCCACATCGATATTGACTGCTTTTATGCACAGGTTGAAATGGTCAGAAACCCAGCCCTTCGAACCAAGCCACTTGGTAAGTTTCTCATCGTGTCTTGAGCAATTCCACAACCTTGAGTGTTGAAAACATGACCAAAATCAAACCACTGTTGCTTCCTCTTTCACCATCCAACTTTTGTACATGTACAGTGTAGGCCTACATTTATGTAGTTCAGCTTTGCATCTCAGTCCTAAGTGTAAAATAGAGTTTTATTAACTCTCTGCACTGAAGCCAAGTAAAGTATTCCACTAGTTGTAATTGAATGTTCATGTACAAGTACATCTTATTGTAAATTTTCAAAATAACTTCTTAAACTTTATCACCTCTTGCAGTTTGCCTGCGTCGATTTTAACACAATCCTGTCTATTCATTCACAGGAATCCAGCAGAAGTATCTCTTGGTGACTTGTAACTACATTGCCAGGTCTCGTGGGGTGACCAAACTGATGCGGATAACAGATGCATTACAGCGATGCCCGGAGCTGGTCATTGTCAGTGGAGAAGATCTGACACACTACAGGGAAATGTCTTACAGGATCACAGGTCTGTTTGTATTGCCAAGCAAGCAACACAGATATAACCAAAATTTCAATTTGCTGGAAGGTTTCTGGACATGGAATATCTGTAAATATTTTGATGAGTTTTCAAACTGTTGTTGTGGAATCACTGTTTCATATAGGATTGCAATATCTGCCTGTCCGTTCCTGGACAAGGGTAACACACCTGTTTGTCCAAATTTCTTTTTGCCTGACCCCAAACAGGTAGACAAGTGGGTAAATAAGACACTGTAATATATAATACATTCTTATCTATCACGGAAGTCATGAACTGGTGAACAAAAGAAAAGTAGAGAATTTACTTCTAGCAGGGGAAGAAAACCTGTCCAAAGCTTCCAAGGACACTTCTGAACTTAGTTCTTTCTGTTTCTGTCCCCACATCACCTGGGTTCGTCAGAAATTTACATGACTGACAGCAAGGGAAAAGCCACAGCAATAACCTAGCCATTTAAAGTGTATCATATGGGGATTTCTAAAACTACTTGTGTTTACTTTGCTGACTTGCCTGCTTTTATAACTGCAGAGCTTCTTCGGCAATTCAGCCCCACCGTGGAGAGGCTAGGATTTGATGAAAATTTCATTGATGTGAGCCATCTTGTGTCTCAACATTTGGAGAAAGAAGACTCTGAATCAGAAGTCTGTGGCCATATTTATGGAAAACAAGGTATACATGTATGTAGATTTAATACAAGTATGCCTGGAGTTTAGATTGCTACTTGCCCTCAAGGTATTATGGGGTATTATGGGCAGTGAACAGTACGGTATTAAATAATTTGTACGCCTTGGTGGCATTAGCAAAACGTATCTTCAAACTGAATAAATTGTGAGTGTATTACAGGTTGACGTTCACTGTTGTCTTTGCAAAGCATTACATGTACTTGAACTTTCCTAACCAACAGATGTAGGTAATGACTCTCCACCAGCCTGCCCCTGTGGTTGTCACCAGCGACTCCTCATTGGCTCACACATTGCCTACGAGATGCGCGAGGCCCTTCGGATGCAGCTGGATATCACCAGCTGCGGAGGGGTGGCCCACAACAAGCTGCTGGCCAAATTGGTAGGCTCGGCCCACAAACCCAATGACCAGACGACGCTATTCCCGCACATGGTGGGCAGTCTGATGGGAAGCCTCACCAAAGTCACTCAAGTCCCAGGTAAGGGATAGTCTGAGAATCAGCGGTTTTGCAGTGGAGCCTGGAACAGCTTCCAGCCATGTGACATACATGAATGTAGGTAGTAAATGGCTGCTGATTGGTCAAAATGTGGAGGCAAGAGGAGGTCATTGCATAATTAACCGCCAATGAAATGTACTCATATATGTATGCAGTCAACTATTCGACCATCTTTTGTCTGGCAGAAAGGCATTCAGGGTTTTTTTTTTTTGAAACACAAATCACATTGTAACAGCTTGCTCGGTATGCCCTTTTGCAAGGCAGCAGACACCATGTACTACATGTACATAGAGGTGAAGGACGAAAACCCCCGAAATACAGAGTGCTGTGTGTGCATCCTCTTCAGGGGGCTGTGTAGCTGGTGAATGCCTTTATAAAATGCCGTACAGGAAAATGGATCATAGATTTTGCCAAATTTCTAACATCCTCCATGACTGCGCCCATGACCAAAGCATTCCACCCCACGTTTGGGGGGAGGCATTCATTCACTTAGTTCATTGAAAGTGATTGCTCCCACAAGGTAAAACACCTCAGTCATTTATAATGGTTTGAATTTTCTGCTTTTAGGCATTGGCCACTCGACTGGTAAAAAACTGTCCTCCATGGGGATCACCACATTAACTCAGTTGATTGAAGCACCATTCTCAATGCTGAAGGAAGAATTTGGGTACCAAACTGCAAGTACTATGCAGAAGCTGTGCCAAGGACATGATGAGGCACCTGTTCTACAGTCTGGGCCCCCACAGGTTTGTATTCAATAGTCTTTTTTTAATTGAGCGTGATTAGTTTCATTTTTAATACAAATTTTTGTGACTCTGCCCCCTAACAAGACAAACAACAACCCTTTTTGAAAAAAGAGAAATTTAGAAATGAGGTTGAAATGCAACATATTTGGAAAATTGAAAGCTATCTGAAAATCAGGTCTTCCAAAAATTGGTTACTGTCCCAAACGCAAAGATCACACTTAGTCAAAGAATCTTGCCAGTCTGGTGTGGAATTACATGTACACCTCTGATATTTTTCAAGACCAAAATATATGTTGCATCTTGATCTTCTTCCAGTCAATAAGTGATGAAGATTCCTTTAGGAAGTGCAGCAGTGTACAGGACGCTCGACTCAAGATGAAGGCACTCCTCTGCAGTCTTCTGCAAAGGTATCAAGAACTTCCAGATTTCCTCACAAAAAGACTGCAAAAATGAAAAGGATGACATGTTGTGGAATTCGGAAGCCTAGCAGCTGTTGCGGTGCACTTTCAAAAGATAATTAATGAGGCTTGCTGATATAGCCCATAATGATTTGGCTCAGGTGATAAGTTGTAAAGTTGATCCATTTATATCTGATACAGATTAAAGAAGGATGGAAGGCAGCCCCATACTTTAAGACTGAGCGTGCGCAAGTACTCCAAGGTTCATAAATGGACCCGTGAGAGCCGACAGTGTGGTATGCCAGATGGAATTCAGCACAGCTTGCAATCAGGTAGGTAGCAGTGTTCTATTGACTGATGAATCAGCTTAAGCCTTACGAATTGTCCTATTTATGGGTAAAAATATGCTGTGAATATTTGTACTGCAGGCTATGTATAAATGGTGCCCTGTTGTGGGTTCATTGTCTACAGAGGTTCATTCGTGGATGTTGCAAAAATGAACTTTAATGATTGGCAAAGGAAGCATGGGGTTACCGAAGAACACACTCTGTTTTATAATTTGTAGGCTATTCTGTTTCCCCATTCCCTTCGGTCCATGTTAACCCTCCTATGCTGAAGTCACTGTTTGGGTCATTTGGTGAACACCTCAAAGAAGCACAGCTGT